TTGGGCCGCGCTCCTGGGGACAGGCCCCTAGGCGCGCTGGCCTGGGGGCGCGCAGGGCTGGGCTCCGCCGGGACCGGAGGGCAAAGGAGGGGAGGGTGCCAGGGAGACTTTCCTCCGCCCCAAAGCCCTAGTGGCATCCGTCCCTCCGGGTGCCCGGGGTCCCTATCTTACTGTGTTCCTGGGGCTTCTCTCAGCCCCGTCTCTCCTGCCCTCCCTTATCGCCGCTGCCCCCTCCTCCCCTTTCTCTACTCTCCTTTTTCTCCCCTCTCCCGCTTCTCCGGAGTTCTCTTCAGTCTGTCGCCGCTCCTGTGTCCCTCTCCGCTATCTGCCCGTCCTTTAATACCTCTACAATCTGAGTTCATTCCTTACAAATTCCTTTTTCATTTGAAAAAAACAATCGCAGATATTTGTCCAAGTGGAAAGACATTTTTAAAAAAAAAAAAAAAAAAGAAAGAAAGAGACTTCTTTTTAAAAACGCAGTCGCGTTGTTCTTTCAAAACTTCACCTCAGGACCAAAGCCGGCCTTCCACTCTACCTAAAAGCTGGGCTAAAGTTTGCCAAAGGAAGCCGGTTCCTGGCGGTTCTGTGGCTGTAAGAATACACGCCATTACTCGTAATCTAGAATCGGTTTTCGTACATGACGTGTAATTTCCCTGCTCTGAGCATCTCTCCCCAGGGTCACGTCTACACCAGCGACCGCTGCGGGAAGGAGCCACTGGATCCTTTTGAGAGAAATTTATTGAAATAAACCCAGCAGAAACGCCAACAAAACACAGATCTGGCCTTAACATGACCTCAGACAATGCGCCCGTGGAAACAATAACACGTCCCTATCTCTGGGTCGCTGATCTCTGAGGGGAGAGGCAAATATGGGGAGGGGGCCAGGAGAAAGAGGACGGTGCCTGGAGGTGGGTCCTTGGTGCTGGGCTTGAGAACTTTTGTTTTGCCATTTTCGGAGGAAACGTGATTTTATTTTTGCTGTTAAAAAAAAATGAGTTGGGATGTGCTCTTAAAAGTGAGATCTAGGCAAACAGGGGTCGAGGTCCGGCGGGTTTTTGTACCACCTCTTTTATGGCCTCTTATCCCCGGGCCCAGGCGGGCGGCTCCCGGGGAGCTAGCGGAGGTGATTGGCGGCTCACCGGGACCGGCCATTGATGACTGCAGGGTTCTAATCTCCAGGAAACACAAGGGGCTGCAGTGGCCATTTAGGGGTAATTATCCGAGCGCAGAGGGACAGCGAATTCCCTCGCCTTTTAACTGGGAGCAATAAAAGCTGTAGATTAGGGGCGTCCAGATTAAGGGAAATGAATTACTAGAGCAGGAGCTTTATTACCCCGACGGCGTCCGGGGTCTGGCAGGAGGGGTCGGGCTGCGGACGCCAGTGAGATCCTCGGCCTCACGTCTGCCCACAGGCTCCTGAGATATGTGAAGGCCTGGGGCGGGTTCTGGAATACTTCCCTCCGTGTGAAATTTACGCTGCCTTCTGAGATTCTCAGGATCCAAGATGCGATTTAGGCACTGGGCTGGGGCCTTTAGGTCGCGCGGTGGACTGGGGGCCCCCTGGGTTTGCCCGAATGTACTTGGGTAGAAGTATTTTACAGCTGAGCAAGTCGAAGCTGAGCTCAGATGTGGACCGAACACCTTGCATGCAGCGCAGCAGGGATGAACTTCGGTCCCTAGCAGCTCTAAGTAAACTGTAGCGGGATCAACAACCCACTCTGCATCTCAGTCTGAACTCGGGTTAAAAAGAGAGTGGAACAGAGACTCATATGCTTTGGGGGCAACATTTTAAAAGCGATTAGAGTATCTTTCAGGTCCGGGGCCTGGACCCCCAACTCAAAATGTTTGACTCCCGGTTCACTTTAAGAATGATATACTTAAAAACTCTTCCCGGAATAATGCACATCAGCAAGAACACAGTACACGCAACTGTGCCGACGGCTTCCGGGGCTCTGAACCCACTTGGACTCCTTTAGGGCCCAGGGCTCAGAGCGACCGGGATCCCGAGGAACTCCCGCCGGTCGCGGGTGACCAGAGCAGCGAGGCCGGCCGCGGCCGGCCCAGGGGGAGGCGAGCGGCCTGAGCAGGGCCGCATCGCTAATTGTGGGGATAAACAATCTGTCACGATCCTTCAGCGCGCCTAATAGGCAGACGAGGATGTTGTTTTTAGGCGCCAGCGGCGGCGGGATCAAAGGCTGCAGCCGGCGCAGGGGCCCTTGAAGTCGCGCCCCCGCCTCCAGGGAGCAAAGAGCCTGTGCCCGCAGCCTGGGGCGCTGCAGCCGGCCGCTCGGGTCCCGAGACCAGTCCCGAACCCCAGCGCATCTTCTTTTTAGGTTCCCTGTGCATTCGTGTCCGCTGTCGCTGGAGCGGCGGGTTAGCCCAGAGCAGGCGTCGCGAGGCCGGGCAGCGCATCTGCGGAGGGAAGGGGCACACTCCACGGCGAGGCAAGACTCTTACACGTAGCTGCCACTGGACTTCGGAGGAAAGATGCCCGCGCGCCCTCAGACTCGGAGCAGGGTGTTAGAGAAAAGAAAGAAAATCGGCGTGTTGTCGGTTCCCGCCAGAGGAAAGGCTCGAGTTTGGGAGCAGAGAGAGGGAGCATTCTTTGAGTTAATTTTTTGTCTGGGCCTTTACTGATTTCCCGGTTGGTGGGTTCAGCGAGCTGACAGGCCGGGGGGCTGTGCCTGTTATCTCGCCGCCAGCACTAACCCGAGGCGCTCTACCCCGGCATTTCTTCGGGCGGCCGCTGCAGCCGAGAAAGCCCGGCTGTAATTCATGCCTGGCAAGGGCAGGGCTGGCCTGCAGCAGATAAAGCTCGGGACTGGCGCTCCGTGTGCATCCTCGCGCTCCCCTCCCCTCCCCCTCGCTCTGTCGCCCCTCGTCCTCTGGCAACCTAACCCCCCCCCAACAAAGCACCTCTGGAATTCGGAATCTAAAGACAGTTTGTCCTGCGTCCACTTTCTAAGCAGCTAAACGGGTTGTGCCCCACCACCGCCACCGCTTGTCTTACGGGGGTGTGCAACGGCGGGGGCAGAATAATGTTGTTCCTAAACATTGTTACCCCATGGGCAAAGATTAACTTTTAGAAGGACCTTCATCTTAGGGCTGTCACTCGCTAAGCATTGTCCTACGGACTGGAAGAGCCTGCAGGCTGGCCCATCACTTCTGCAAGGTTGTTGTCGCCTCCGTCGGTTTTTTTTTTATGCCCCCTTCCCCCCTTTCCACTGCATTTTGTGGCCTCGGCCCAGGAATCCCGCGTGCATTTTTTAAAATGTGTAGCTCAGTGGGATCCCCCGGCAATTAGCGAGCCCCAAACAGTCCTCTTTAATAGAATGAATGTGCTATGAAAACCGATTACCCGGAACGATTTATTTTGGTGGGAATTCACCAATCGCCAGGAGGGCGGCCGAGGGGGAGAAAGAAAAGGTATTTTGTCCCGGGGTGGGGGTGGGGGTTGACGGCCGACAGACAGCGTCCTCAGAGGATCTTCTAACCTGCCCAGGGGCCCTCCCGACCTCACCGTCTCATCTTTTGGCCTCTGTCGCCTGGGAGTGAGGCGCTGGGAATCGTGTTTTAAAAACTCTGTGCGAGTTGCTCACTCCAGGAGGATTACACTGCTGTTCAGAGGAAAAGCCCCCAGAGAGCCGACGGAATCTTCAGCAGATCACAGATGCGGCGACCCCGGGGGAACTTGTGCCTTTGAAGAGTTTGGGTACCTTTCCTCAACATGACGGCAAAATAAAACTACTCATAAAAACTGTTTTCTCCTCGAAAATTCCTCCGCTGAGCCGGCCCCACTATTGCGGTGGGACTAACGGCCCGAGCGCGGTGGGTTTCGACTGCACGGCTTCGGCCCCTTTCCCCACCCCCCACTGGCCTCCCCCCCCCTCAGGCTGGCCTTCCTTGTGCCTTTAAATTCTGGAGGGGGCGAGGGGGCCAGGATCCGCGGAAGAGAGAACCCCCTTTCAAATGGCCCAAATTAATGTGATCGCGACATGAGGGTGCACTTGGGGAAGATGAAAGCGGAGGCCGGCCGGCTCCTCCTAGAGCTCTATAATTATAGATAATATATCCCATTTCAAAGCAATTAGACCAATCAGGCGTAACGAAGCACTTTGCTGCCGACGAATAACAAAGACGCAGGGTTATTTAAGCCTGGAGATGTCAGGCGGACCCCCAGGCTCCGCCGGCCAAACGTCTTCCATCCTGGCTGCGCCACCCCCAGCGGAGGAAGGCTCCGCGGCTTCCCCCAGGCTCTGCCCGGGCCGCTGAGGGCCCCATCCCAATTCCAGCAAGGGCCTGGGAGGGCAGGGGGATGGAGGGAATGGGAGAAAGAACTGGCTTAAGGAGTTGAGTGTCAGGCCTGCCCGAGGTTTCACAAATTGTATCTGATTCAATCCTCTCTACTCGGGGAGAAAAAGTATTAAGATTGGCCACCCCCAGCCCCATGGAAGAACAAAGTCCCAGGGGTTAGCGTCTTGCTCAGGGTCACACCACTAGTTAGTGGTGGTTGGCAGGGGTGGTTCTGAACCACCAAACCCACTCTTTCAGCTCCCAGAAGCAGTCTCAAAAATCCAAGAGCATTAAAATACAGCGATGCTTGCAGCATTTGGTGGAACAGCTCCCAGCCACACCCCCCAATCCAGGAATGAGGTCTTGGGTCCAGTTTACTACCCCTTCTCCTGCTCTCCCTCCCCCTCCACCCTCTGGCTGAGATCTCTGAAGGATGTGGAGTTTTTTTTTCCCCCATGAATTTACCAAATGTCTAGGATATCAGGTCTGAGAAGAAAACAGGCCAGGACTAAGCTGCAGGACCAGGCGAGGGCCTTGGTTTGTGGGCTTTAAAGTGCACAGAGATGGGCAGAAGAGTGATGGAGAAACTCAGGAGGCAGAGAGGCTGGGTAGAGGCCCAGAGCACAGGAGCCCTAGGTACAGCCTACTGAGAACCAAGGCGCCAGGCTCAGAGCTGGGGAGTCCTAAGTGCTGGAAGCCCAGGAGGGGGTGTCCAGAAGGCCAGAGTCAAGGCTAGAAAACGGGGGGGGGGGACTCAAGGGGAGCCCAGCAAGAGTGTCCCCCGGCAGTGGGGATCCACCCCTCTGTCAGGGACGGGGGCAGCTGGACTGCAGGACCCACTGGGCAGAGCAGGGCTTGGGGAGGCCCCCTGGGCCCACGGGGACTTCCTCCCCACTCCCTTATTCCACCCTGTGGGTCCAGGCTTTCCACGTGCCTCTCCTGTCGGTCCACACCGGATTCTGAGGCCCAGTCTCTAGTGGCTCTGTGTCTGAGCTGGCCTCTGGGTCTCTGCGGGTGGATCTCTCACAGCCAGGACGACGCCCCATCTCTGCACTCTGTGAGTACTCGGTCTCCATGGTTACCATTTCTCTTTCCCTCCCTGCCTTTCAGTCACTTCCCCCAAATCTCTTGGCCCCTGCCCTCAGCTCTCCTGGCCCCGTGATTCAGTCTGAATCACTCCTTCAAGTCACTGGGAAGCTAACGTGACTTCCTCCTGCGCCCTGCAGCAGCCGGCAGGCACACCTTCAGGAGGGCAGGAAGTGCCCCTCCCGCGGGTCCCTGCCACTCCAGTCCTGCTGGGGCCTCCAGCTAGTAATTTCTCTCTGGAGCCTCCGTTCCCAGGTTACCTTGGGCCTTCCCTGGTTCTCTGGTGTTCTCATGGGGGCCCAAAAGGCAAAGGCTGCAGGAGGCCTGGCAGATCTAGGAGGTGGCAGCTTAGTTCTTCACCTCTACTGTTCTAGAACTCCAGGGTGAAAATAGCTAGTGAAGATGGAACATTCTGGAGAGGACCAGGGTGTCCAGACTGACTGGGACAGCAAGCAATGCACTTTCCTGGAGAGAAGTCCAAGCTCAAGTCGGGTCTCCTGTGGCGACTCACTCCCCCTCTCCAGGGCCCCTGCTGCCAGAGTCTCCAGCCTCTTGCACTTAACCTCCAGGCCTCAGAGTGTCCAGGAAAGAGGGCGACCAGCCTCCACCCTGCACCCCTCTCCCGGGGGGGGGGGCCTTTGCATTCGCCAACCCGATTTTGCTCACCCTGGATCACAGAGCAGAGGAGCTCAAAGAAGTGAGGAGGGGTGTGCACACCAGGGCTTCCTGATTCCACAGCAGTGCCTCAGGTGGGCACTCACTTTCCGGTGAGAAGAGTGACACTCCAAGAGTTGAAGCAGCACTCCCCTACACAGCTGGGCCCGGGGACACCAGGACTGGCAGTGCCAGGGCGTCTCCGCTGCAGGCTGCAGCTCACTGTGATAGGGCTCCAGCTTTCCTGCCTGGCCTCTGTCTGGGGAGGGCGGCAAAGCCTCCAGCTGTGGTTCAGTTCCCTGCCAGGGTGAGCAGGTTTGGCTGTGGAAGGTGGAGGCTGCTGGAACTGCCCCCGTCCTGCAGGACCCAGTGTGAACAGAAGTGGGGCGGGTGGAGGTGGTGTGACTCTCTGCAGAGCCCTGCTAGGACTGGGCTCTGCCATGGCCTCAGAGCTTGGGACATGGGCAAATGACTGCCCCTGCAGACTTCAGTGGGTGTGGTGGGCAGCTGCCCCTCTGTCCTCCTCCCTGTGAGAGGAGGGACTGAGCCCCAGAGACCAGGAGGAGGAGGAACCCAACACCAGGAGTAAGAATGTTTCTTAGAAGTATGAGCAACGCCCTTGAACATGCACTTTGCCAAGGGCGCTTCTGAGTGCTTAATAAGATTTAGCTCAGTCTTCACAGCGACTCTTTATCCCTAGTCAACACCTGGGAGCAGCTTACACTAGCAAAAACACACAAACTCAGTGTCCTAGGAAGTCTCCCGGCACCCAGGGCTTCTCAGTGTGCGCCACTCATGAACGAGCCCTACTGAGGACCCCCAGATGCGGCACAGGCACAGCCTGGGGGACTGGTGCTTGTGGCCGCCCCAGCTCTGATCTCTGCAAGGTGGGGGCTGCAGCTGCACTGGTCCCTGCCAGAGGTGGCTCCCCAGAGCCTGTGGGGGCCCCGAGATGGGAACAGAGCTCGGCATCGAGAGGGGCCACCAGAGGGGCGTGAATGGATGACCACCGGGCAACACCTAACCTTCACCCCTGCTAGGCCTGACCCCGAACACCCCCTACCTGGCCAACTGCTCTGGGGTGACGGTCAAGGCCAGAGCTTGAGGTCCAAGGTGAGAATGGTCCACCCAAGTTCTGATCAAACACTCCTTCAGAGCATCTTTCAAAGCAACCGAGAGCCCGTGGATCACTCTGCGTGCTGTTGAGTTCTCTTCTAGACCTGAGGACAGATCCAGCTTCCTGTTCGGCACTGATAAGCCATGGCCCAGAGTGGTCAGACAGTTGCCCCAGGTCACTCAGAAAGGTCTGTGCAGGCTCCAGGCCAGTGGCTGTCTCTGCCACGGGGTCCTGCCTCACCCTGGGGCACTTCTCTGGGCGGCTCAATTCCTGGTGTGTGTGGCATGGAGGCAGGCTGGGGGAGGCCCGGCCTCCAGAGAAGGCAGGGGAGAGGGAGTTGTCCTGTGGCTCCCTCCCACTGCCCCAGCAGGGAGGAAGGGGCAGATCCCACAGGGCCCTCCCTGTTCTGGGGTGCTCCCAGCCCCCTTTGGCTTCTCCTGACCTGCCAGAGCTGCAGGAGAGCCCCACCTGAAGGGGACCCATTTCGTCTCCAGGGAGAGCCCCTATCTGATCAAATGGTGGGCTCCTGGCCACAGTCCAATTAAGTGAAAAGAGATCTGGCCTTATCAGGTTCAGGCATGGTCCCTGGGGTGGTCCCGCAGTGGCCCTGGAGGGTCCCTGTCTGTT